TCTCTCTCTCTCTCTCTCTCTCTCTCTCGTTTTCGCGTTTTTTTTTGTTTCTTTTCTATTCGAAGAGGCGTCTTACGTGTAACGTTTAGGCGGCACGAGTGCTCATCTAGTGGATACTGTGTGTGTGTGTGTGTGTGTAGATTTTGAAGAGAGCGGTTAGAGAAAGAGATGGCAGGATGATTGGGGAGAGAAATATCACGACACAGAATATAAGCGGAGTATGTAGAGAGGAACGGTTTGGAAATAGGTGGGCAAATTTTGAACGCGCTCTCTCTGCTCGTTTCGTGGATGAAAACGGGTCACGCGAAGGTCATGGATTTTCAGGGGCTCTCGTACGGAGTAATAGAAATTATTCTACGATATTCCAGTGGATTATTAGAAAAGTTTTTGCCGCATCGGTTATCTTTTTCGGGTGTTTGGGACTTTGTGAAATTGTCGTTTGTAGTTTTTCTTTTTTCTTTTTTATGAGATTGTTCGTTTCGAATGATTTTATGGCGAACCTGTTTTTGCGAAGTGTTCGAGATTCTGTGAAACGATCGTTTTATAGAATTTTTTGTATTTCTTTTGTAGGAATGGCAGAGCGATCAGAGAAGTTGGTTTTATGTATGTTCTCGGTTTTCGAAAATATCTTTAGTATACACGATGCAAACTATACATAGACCAATGCGACAAAAAAGATAGAAGATAACCTCAAAATTTGCTAGGTTAGTCTGGTGGATAGATTTGACAATTTACCATTGAAAACGCAATGCATCGGGAATTTGAAAGTTAAAGATTTGAAAGTTGAAAATTTAAAATTTGAAAATATTAAATTTGGTAGTTTGAAAGTTGAAGATTTGAAATTTGGAAGTTTGAAAGTTGAAAATTTGAAATTTGGAAGTTTGAAAGTTGAAAATTTGAAATTTGGAAGTTTGAAAGTTGAAAATTTGAAAATCAAAGAGGCTCAATTTACCTCACCTTGTTAACATTAAATTCCCCTCATCCCAAAATTCTCGAAAAGTCACAAAAATTAACCAGACTAACATACGGTTTAAAATATAAACGACGACTAATATCGACACACTTGTTACAACATGCGAATACCCAATACTTTGACAGAAATTTTACAAAAAAAAAAAAAAAAAAAAAAGTAAAATACACACAGAAAGCGTTGCATAGTTATCCCCAGCGTTTAATAAACGAGTTGTTAATCGATAAAAAAATTTCCTTCGAACGGCGGATAATTATTAAAGATCGTCTGGTGGATAATGGCGGTCGCGGTCGAACATCGTGGCACGTGGAATATTAGGAAACCATCTAAACGACCTGGATTTTCTATTTAGTTAATTCAACGGGCACTGCGATAAAGGGTCATGGTCGTGTGCATCTCGCGAGTCGACTCTCGAGATGTCTTCTTTCGATCCGAGCATGAAAGTTTCACGAGGATGGGCACTAATTAAAGGCGAAAGAAAGAACGAAAGAAAAAAAAAAAGAAGACGAAGAAACACACACTGGTGTTTCTCTCTCTCTCTCTCTCTTTCGATGTGTGTGTGTATGAGTGTTTCTTTCTTGTTCTACTTGAGCCACGCGGACGCCTTGTGCTGATCTTTTCGCGGGTCCAATTAAAGGCGTTGATCTCGAGGAGAAGGGGACATTGTGGCGCGAATTTTTGTCGCAGAACAATGTGGACACTGGACTTCCAGCGTGTCAATGGGACTTGATTATTTTTAGGTATGGAGGAGAATTGTTTTGAGCGAACTTGAGAGATGTGTGTTGTATATGTGTGCACGATGGACCAGGTGTGGAAGGTGGGATTTTCGAATTTGCGATTGGAGAATTTGGGAAATTGAGGAATGAGAGCTTGGCGGTTTTGAAATCTGAGAATATGGAAATTTGAAATTGGAAAATTTGAAATTCGAAGACTTCGAGCTCTCGAAACTTGGAACTTGAAAATTTGAGTATTGAAAGTCTGAAATTTGAGTACTGAAAATCTGAAATCTGAAAGTTTGAAATTTCACTTCTGAAAATCTGAAATTTGAAAATTCGGACGCTCGAGATTTAGAAACTTGAAAATTTGAGTATTGAAAGTCTGAAATTTGAGTACTGAAAATCTGAAATCTGAAAGTTTGAAATCTCCCTACTGAAAATCTGAAATTTGAAAATTCGGACGCTCGAGATTAAGAAACTTGAAAATTCGGAGTTTGAAAATTTGAAATTTGCGTATTGAAAATCTGAAATCTGAAAGTTTGAAATTTCACTTCTGAAAATCTGAAATTTGAAAATTCGGACGTTCGAGATTAAGAAACGTGAAAATTTGGGCGTTCGAAATTTAGAAATTCGCAAGGTAAAATTAGAAAGTTTGAAAATGGGAAACGTGTCAATAGGACTTGGCTATTTTTAGGTATGAAAGAGAATTGTTCCGAGTGAATTTGAGAGGGGTGTAGAATTTGTACGTCGAATAGTTATTTCTGTTCGGTGAAGATGCATCGATGATATTTCAGCAAGTGGTACGAATAGCACGAGGTGATTAAACCAACGTTTCCTAGTAGTATCAATTTCTTAACTGTTGCCAAATATTAATTATTCTTCTCAACTAATGCAGCAAAGCTTCTATAACACACCAAGCTAGAACAGCTTTTCTGAAGCTTTTACTCTCTCTTCTAAATCTACCTTTCAGCTCTAAATAATGACTAGTCTGAGCAAAATATATCCTAACAGCCGTCTCCTATGAAAGATACATCGAAACCTCCACTAAAAACTTGGACGTTGAAAATTAAAGTTCACAATCGATTATAAAGAAAAGTGTGAAAATAATAATTATCGACGTGTGTGTTTCTCGGCCTTTGAGATGACCTATTTCAAACTTAAGAAAACTCTCGATAAACCCAGAAAATCATCGTTAGCTCCAGAAAGACTCGCAATCACGTTAAAATTCGAGTTACAATTGCCCAGTTTTACCACAGCTCGCCACCATCGTCAATTCCATCAAACCCAGAAACACTTTCCGGTCTTCCCCGCTCGACTTTACATAATCCTACCGATACCTAACATCCCGATACACGAAACATCGTTTCGTTTCTGGTCACTCGAATCAGACACAGCCAGCCTACCCCTATACGGGGTGGACCGATAAAACAGAACAAAACTATCAAAGTATTAAACACCAACCTTCACTTTACAAAAGAAGAAGAGAAAATGATAAATCCAAAGTGTCAGGAATTAACGTTAACTCTTCAATATTAACAGAACCATTGCTACCTTGACGTTATTAGATTTCTTTATAGGATCTAGCTGATCTTTTAAAAACGCACTCTTACGATTCACATGGTATTGAACCGTGACAACCATTTCTCTATCCGACCGTGACACATATTTCGCCTAATTTCATAATCGTATTAATTATCAACTCCTCTCTCGATTGCATGTTCCAATTTCTTACGTTCTCCTCTACGCTAATACCGACTTACCCCCTTCACTTGACTCGTAAATCATCTCTGGCCACGCGTCTGTTCTGTTCGTTACGAAAGCAATTACGAGAGCAAAGGGTTGAAAACCTAGCGATAATTTCTTTTTTCTCTCTTCGTTTTCTCGCGGTCCACTCCTTATCGTCGATCAGAAGCCATTGCGGTAGATCGAATTGGAGAAAGACGACGACGCGGTCCCGCCGGTCGATCCAATTAGCGGCACGCCGTTTATGGACGTGGATCCACCGCGCGCGTAACACGGCTTATCCGTTTGCCGGCCTAACCGGACACGGAAAACCCGTTGAGAAAATCGTGGACACGTGCAGATTAACGACAGGAGGAAACTGACCGAAAATGGTCGACACGCGTCCAAATTTCGGCTTCGCCGAGCGGGTGATTCGTTTTATGCCGTGCATCAACGGCCGCCCTCTGCTAGCGATAAGTAATTTTCGGCCGATCAACGGAGGCCAAACGCCTTTTTTCAGACGCGACTATTTTTCGCCACCCGGGGGGGTGGTGGTGGAGAAAAACGGGAACAACACGCCACCGAGGCTTTGATCGACCAACTGGCTAGCGACACGCGCGAACCGCTTTCGGCTTGGCGATTTTTAGGTCGTTGCACGAACGAAAGGGGATTCTACAGGCTTTTACAGGTGATACAGAGTGTTGTCTTGGAGATGTGATTTGTAGAGTTTTCAGTTTGTTGGTGTACTACGGTATACCTTCTCTGCACCTTCCTCTATCAATTAACGAAGGATTTAGCCTATCGTTTCAAACAAGAAAGCTACAGACTGTTCAGAAGCTGTTCCATCGAACCTACCACGACAAATCACTTCAAACATCAAGCTCGTCGACGATCACCAAAAATTCTTTACTCTTTCTTTTCTCTAACTAGCAATGGGAAAGGCAAAATACGGAGCACTACATACCACGACAAACCACCTCAAACATCAAGCCCATACTTGTCAACATTTACTAAAAAAACCCTGTACACCTTCTCTTCCTTAATTAGCAATGAAAAAGGCAAAATACAAAGCACAACATACCACGACAAACCATCTCAAACATCAAGCGCATACTTATCAACAATTACTAAAAAAATCATTTACACTTTCTCTTTCTTAATTAGCAATGAAAAAGGCAAAATACGGAGCACTACATACCACGACAAACAGCAAGCCCATACTTGTCAACAATTACTAAAAAAACCCTGTACACCTTTTCTTCCTTAATTAGCAATGAAAAAGGTAAAATACGGAGCACAACATACCACGACAAACCACCTCAAACATCAAGCCCATACTTATCAACAATTACTAAAAAAATCTCCGTACACCTTCTCTTTCTTAATTAGCAATGAAAAAGGCAAAATACAAAGCACAACATACCACGACAAACCACCTCAAACATCAAGCCCATACTTATCAACAGTTTCGAAAAACCCTTTACACCTTCCTTTCTCTAACCAGCAATAAAAGAGGCGCAATACAGAGCGCAACATATCACGACAAACCACCTCAAACCTCACTCCCATACTCAGCAACCCTCAGAAAACACCCTTCACACCTTCCCTACCCTATGCAACAAGGAAAACAGAGGAACACGGAGCGCAACCTGCCAAGTCAAACACAATCAAACCACCTCGAACACAAAGGCGAAACGAAAAAGCCTGACACTATACACCCCCTAACAAGACCCCAAGTGATTATTCAGGGGCCCCGGACCCCTCCTCGTTCGAACGAACAGCGGTTGAAATGGCTCAGCCAAGGCGCCTCGGCAAAAATAAAGAGAGAAAAAAAAAAACAGAAATACTCGCGGAAGCATTTCAGTAGACGGGATCAAAGGGAACACTCACTTTCTTCCGGATGCTTGACGGTGGAGAAGCAGCCGTCCGCCGACAAGTAGAGCAACAGCGCGCCGTTCGCGGGCAGCTCCTTGAAGCCGCTCGCGAGGAATACCTGTACCTGGCTGTAGGTGGGCTTGTACAACAGGTACTTGTGTGGATTGTCCCGTCGTGGCGCGCCGTTCTCCGGGCCTGGGTAAGCGCCAGGCCTGAACGGCATTCGTCCAGCTGGTGACGCGTCGTGCAGGTGATTAGGGTCGTCCCTTGGCTCCCTCTCGAGGGTCTGCAGCATCCTGAACATGTCCATCGACAATTCACTGAACTTCACCTGATCGGCGCAATTGCCGACAATCAGGATCTCCTGCAGTGATAGGCACATGGGTGGCGTACGTTCCACGAGTGGCGATGTCTGAGGTCCAAGCCTGTGGGTTAATATAACAGGATTCGAGTCCGAGTGCACCACTCCTACCGCCGATTCAGCCTTCACGAACGCCTTTATCTCGTCGAGGACCAGATTCCATTCGAGTTGATCGTCCGGCTCGTAGGTGCTCGTGTAATCTGCGATCTGTTTGTCCAGATCTTGGACGAGCTCGTGTACAAGCTTCATACGGTTGAGCAGGAGGCAGACGACGATGAAACGGGCGTAGTACCTGAGCTTCTTCACCATCAGGTCACTCCTGTCCTCTTTAGCGGCACACCTGTAGTACGCGCGGCCGCGTATCGCCGCGTAGAACGAGTAGGCCTCGTGAAGGTAGCTGGTCTCGCTGGTGCGCAGGTAGTAATGGTAGTAGAGCTGGCCGATCTTGCTCGCTATCTCGCCGATCTGCCACCTCTTCAGCCCGTACTTCGTGTCCAGTATCGTCCTGGAAGACAGTCGCGTGTATGTACGCACACGTTATTGGGTTATACAGGGTGGTTTTGTGGCAAATGTGAACAGTTACAGAGAGAGAGAAACGAGAAGTGACGATGTATGATTGCAGGTCGAAAAGTGTCGAGTCGAAGTACCGGTTAGTTCTTGTGTAACGCATAATTTCGGCCACTGCTTTTTTCTTTTCAACGAAATTACCGCAAAATCAGAGTCACTCGAATTATCTGTATGCAATGAAAATATATAACTTTATCAGTGAGTCTGAATATGTGAGTCTATCGTACTCAAAGGGGTAATTACTGAACAGACTAAAAAGAGAAGAAACGATAATCACCGATTTTCGTTAAACTTCGATGTACTGCAGTACTCGAAAAACTATTCGACACGTATTTTTTTTCTAGTCAACACTTTATGTTCAGAAGATCTCCTCTTGTCCACTGTGAATCTTTTCTTTGCGAAATACAAATTCTCTATGTAAGTGTTAACGTTTGTTTTTGAAGCACCCTGTATAGGTGCAGAAGGAATTGCTGTGCGATTGCGTTTAGCTTGTTTGGTGGGTTTTGTTGAGAGGTAGAGCAAAGGAATCGAGGAATTTGTGGAAGTTTGTTTGTGTTTGAACGAAGGGAAGAAATAGGCGAGTAGTTTGTTTGTCTGGTTGATTAGCATGTTCTTTGCGAGCTGTAATAATTACGAGATGTTTGTTGGATCTTTGATTAAGGTAAAAGTGGATGCAAATTTGTTTTTCTTTTTTTTTTTGCTGAATTTCTGACAGCTTCGTAGTGTAATGTTTCGAAGTTAATCGGGCTTTCGATTATCGACGAAACGAATTTGGGGAAGTCGGAGTGAATTTTATGGGAAGTTTCTCTTTTTTTCGCTTGATTTTGTGCTATTGCTAAAATTGCTGAAATTTATATATACACATGTTTACAGTATTTTCAAATTTATCGATCTTCGATTCCTATCCACGAGATTAATCCTTTCGGCAATGAGAATGATTACACTCGTTCGATACATCGGTGTGTCGATATTTTGACACAACGAGAGCATGAAACGTTTGAAAATTTACCCAGACAATTTTAATCCAGAGTTCGTACTCGTAAAACATCAATTACGTTTGTTATTCCAATTATTATTCCGATTTACAATACGCGCACAAGAACTTCGAATGAAAGGGTTAATGTAACAGAAAACAGATATTCGCAAAATTTCACGTAAAATAGAAGCAAACTTCTCGATCAAAAATTTCACAATTGTAAAAATAATTCTACTTTCGTACAAAGGAAATTAACTTTAAATTACAACATCTACTATTTTGTACAGTGGATCCCGGTTAATCGGGACCGGATTAATTTGTCCCAAAAAAGCGAATTTCGACAGGCAAATGTAAGGCGCTGTGCGACGCGGCCAGGCAACGACCGCGGGGCCCGAGCCGCAGGGGGCCCTAGACAAGGATGAGCGCAGGCCGCACCCCCACCACAAGGCTTGCACGGTCCCAACGGCCGAGGAAACGTATAAAAACGGGAAAAAGGGCAGCGGCCCACACAGTATCGCACTTCAGGTTCCAGAAGGTTTTTTGCAACATTTCCTGCATGATTTCTACTTTATTTCTTATATTAATAAAATTTTATTTTAGGCTACCTAATTTCTCGAAATTCTTTTAGAGTATAGGGCGGATCTACGCCAAAAATCAAGAAAGAAGCCCGACAGGCGCAAGCCTGTTAAAAAAAAAAAAAAAAAAGTTGCCCGAGCGAACCGACGTTATTTTAACATCAGTTATTTTAAGCGCCTGTAATTCCTTGCTCTTACACAAAATCTGAACAACGTGAAAAATGAAGTCAAAAAGGATTTATTGAAAAACGTATGTAACACTCGGACTTGAATACAAATGCGTGTTTAAGGGGGTATTCTAGTCTGGACTTTAAGAAAAAATCGATTTCTTTTTCTTACATTTTCTGAAAGTAGACATTTGCAGAGGTATAACTGTCGAACGAATTTTCCGAATTCGTAAAATTGAGGAAGTAACAGATGGTTAAAGCCCGTAGTCGTAAGTATACCATTCTCCTGTAACTGGTACGAGAAACTTTAAACGCGTTTTTCTCGAAACCATGTTTTTCTAAGTGGCTGACACGATATCTCAAGTTCTAGTTGTCCGATTGACTCGAAATTTTACGTGCACCTTCGATGGATGTTTCGTTATCGTCTGAACCAGAATTATGCGGAAATATGTGTTCTTCTGATTTTTAGAGCCTCTGAAAGACGAAAAAAAGTCGACAAAATTCAAAGTGACGCCATTTTCTAAATTTTCACTATTTTTTTTTCATTCTGGTTCACACCATAGTCACAGTTGTACTGATCAAGAATCCTCTCGGTTTTTTCATTTCGGATAAACAGAACGGGCGGAATCGTGTCAGCCAGTAGGACACTTGTTTTTAAAGGGACCGCACTGAATGATATATAATTCAGATAGTTTTGATTATTTTCACTTGAAAGAAATTGCGAACTTTCTTAAAACATTAATACATACTGAGGAACTTGTACTTTCCTTACAAAAAAATCCCTAAAAAATGACACTCTAGACTAGGATACCCCCTTAAGCACGCAAACAAAGCTAACAATAAGTAATAAGATAACATTGAAAATGTTCCGTTCTTCGGTATCTGTCTCAAATAAACGGCGGTCCCAATTAACCGGAATCCACTGTATTTGCTAAAAAAAAAAAATCAAACTCGACTGAATGAAACGAAAGGAAGAAATTTTCGAACGATAATGTATATACCTAAAAAAGTTCTTGGAATATTCTTTAACACAGTGGTGCAACAATTTCAATTTAAACCCTCTCGCAACCGCTACTTCAAACGAGAACCACAAGCAAGATCCATAAAAGGACAAACCGTTTCACAAAACCCGACACAATACACCAGCCTCCGCGTAAAATTTCCCTCCCTCTCACCCTCAAGAAACCTCAAAAGGACAAAACAAAGTACCGATATGCCTGCACAACGAACGAACGAACGAACGCACAAGCGACTCAATAAAAAAAGGAAAAAAAAAATACACAGCAGCAGCAGTAGAAGGCAGGAGGAAAATCCGCGATACTTTTGAAACCGGTAACCACACACACACATGGGAGAAAGTTTCTCCATTGTTTTGACGCGTGGAACCGATCGTGAAAGAGCGTCCTCGATATTTATTAACAGTCACGCGTCCAACACATCTCCATGTCCTTTTACACAATACACAGGGTGTTTCAGTAATCGTGGCACGTTCTCGCGAGGAAATGTGGAGTAACGTTTCTGCGGAATAAAGGTTTCTGTTTTTTCGAGGACGTTAATCGTGAGAGTTTATCGTTCTGTTTTATTGTTTCCATTTCGTATCGATGTTCGTAGGATATTGTACGTAGCGTCAGTTGTCATATTAGAAGACGCACGTGTCAGAGACGACGCATTTAGCGGCACAGGCCTCTTGTAAAGGGAGAATCTGAGAATCTTAGAATCTGTTATTGGGAGATAGGCTCGGCGACGTAGGAACCAGTGGCAAAGGACCCGACGTCCTGTTGCCGAACACAAATGTAAGGAATGCGAGATTTCGGCGGCGAAGTGGATTTCGTCACCCAGAGTCACTGGAAGGGAAGGCGCGCGAGCACCCTAGGGTGCCATAAACTAAGCCCTTTCCCCGGACAGTCGAACTAGGAGGCTCTAACGGTTTTTCGGGGGCAACGCAGGATAGGACACTCTCGTTATAGTCGTCGAGCGAGACGGACACCCGAGTATCTTAGCCACCGCTTAAATTCATTAAATAATACATTTGGTTAATAGCCTACACCGTGCTCTGTTTCTTGAAATTGTGCTAACGCAAAGAGGACGCGTGCACGGGGCCGGTGGCCCAACGTCACCGATGCCTCGTAGCGCGTAGACTAGCGAAGACTCTTGGCACTCTCTGGGAAGAGGACTGTGTCAAAAAGGCACGGCACTTACCCGAGAACTTTCGGCGAGAAAAGTATCGTAGTTTTTAAGAATAACAGTTACAACTTGGCGTGTAGTTTTAAGGGGTTAAGGCACGTGTAAGAGAAATCGAGGGCGGCCAGCCTGGATGTTTATAGTAATAGGAGCAGGCGATATCGGGCCCGAGGACTAAGACGCCACGAACATCGGCGACGAACCCTCGAGGCCCTTGGTGACGCATTTTTGGGAACGGCGGGACAAAGGGGCTTTCCTAGCCGGAAAGCCAGTCTTGCTTAGACAGTCGAAGAGTAACGGTTTAACCAAGCAACCCACACCTCACGAATAAAGCTTTTAGCATCAAATACGCGTCTATTCTTTCATTTTCCTTACACACGGTAACAAGTGGGTAAAATATATGATTTTTAAACGACGGTACAGCAAAAAGTGAATAGTCGATTGATATAAAATTTTGTATTTCAATTGTCAGAAAGTACTCTAACTCGGAGTAGGGTGGGCGTGAAATTAATTAAACGTTTCTACGTTCTCGCAACGGTGTATTTTACACGAAGACTATTCCCGCGTTGTCTGAGCGTCGTTCGTAAAAAGTACGCGTTCAACGGTCTCGTGAAGAGTGTGTACGCGTCGTCCTGCCGATCCCTGTCCACCCCATGCGCGAAAAGGGAAAAACCCAAAGCGCTGGGCCTGGCTTCAAGGTGCTCGCTTCACCGTCTTCGGGACGGATTTTCTCAGACAATTTACTATACTATGAACTGTAAAGAAATGCTTGTAATATTCAGAAAATAATCTGTTCTTATGCCTTTCGCCGTTTTCGTTCGGAATATCTTTTCTTCAAGATGGCCAACTGGTGTGCAGGATTTCTACAAATCGAGTTAACTGTATCCAGAATCCCAAAAATGTCGCGAACTGTGATATATTCTCTATGCATTGACGATCCCACATTTCAATTTTTGTGAAAATTAACAAAACGGCAGATATTTTAAATTGAACGATTTCTTACTTTTTTACACTTCACAAAATAATGGGAAAATGTAAAAAAATCGATCGTCAGTGCCTAATAGATATTACAGTAAAGGTAACTGTGAAATTTTAATGTCATTGCTGAGGTAGAACTCGAGATATCTTCACTCTCGGTTCGAATTCACTCTCGAAACGGTACTTGGAGAAATAATTTGTATCGAAGCCTGGAATCCACGTGAAACCTTTTGCATTCTGTTCTCAAGACCTGAAACTACTATTTAAGACGAAACAAAAATTTCGATTTTTTCAAAATATTGCTGTGTCCTAACCCCTTAAGAACTGGGAGAAGGCGGTAAAAGGGAAAGCGACGAGGGACAAAAGTCAGGCCGATGCGTCGCCGATGGAAAAGGACAGTGTACAGTTGGAAGTCGAGCGTATCGTTAAGAGTCGTAATCGTGTATGTACAGTCCTGTTACCTTAACTTTAATTCTAATATGTTATAATAAACCACATTTTTATATCAAACACTACAACATTGATACTGATTATAATGCTTGCTGTATTTTCTTTTTGCGCGAATTGGACTTCATTTTATTCGCTGCTTTATAGACACTGATGCGAGTAAAAGTGAGGAATAACGATGAATTTGGTGAATCGATTTTCTGGAGAATACAGAAGCGTGTAGAACCTTTACCCCGTGACTTTAAACTAATTTTGTCGCGGAGAATTACCCTCTGCTTGGTTAGCTAAGGGTAAAAATAACCAACGGTGTATGCGAGAAATTTTGAAAAATGACTTTCTACGAAAGGAAGCTAAGTATCTAATATTTTCACCGGGGAATCACCTGTTCCGTGGTCGCCTAGGAAATAACAATCAACGACAAACGCTGCAACGCTATAAATATGAATTTCCACAAAAAGAGAAAAAAATTCTATTCCACAATTTCAATCTAATTTTTCCAAACCTTCGTCTCTAATCTTTTCCCCGGGAATCATCCGTTTCGCGGTCTCCTCCGAATAAACAATAATCACCGACGAGGCAACAAAAGAAAACCAAACAAGAAAGAAAAGAAAAAAACGAAGCTTCGTCTGCGAGAAAAAAAAGCTCTACTCCACAACCCCAACCGAATTTTTCCATAATGAGGAGTCACAATTACACCGAGTATGCTTGGTGGTGCACACATGACGCGTGTATGCACATGTACCTACACGTACCGCGAGTTTGGCTAGGTGTCACATGTCTGCACGAACGCGAGCCGTGTGAATAGCTGGATAGACAATTGACTCTTTGTCGAGTCGCACCATCAGCCGAGCGACCAGCCGGGGCCAAGTTGATGACACTTTACGATCAAAAGGAAAGGGACAAAGGGTCGAAGATTACCGGGCATCCGGTGCAACAGAATCGAAAGGGTAAATAAAGAGACCCAGAGGCTTTGCCCGCCTGTCTCTGGCCCAAGTGGGCCAATCAAGCGAAACTGGTAACACACCCGAAGACGCAAGAAACTCCCCCCCCCCGAGGGTTTACAAGGGCGGCTTACAGAGGCAGGGTGTGAACGACGCGGCGAGAAAAAGGGGGGAAAAAGGAATTACGCTCTCGAACGACGAGGATCCGCGCGATGTGCTGGCCACGAGGATCCCGGTCACGTGGTTTCCGGTAGCTTGGACCGGACGAAGAACGATCGACGAGGAGAGATAATCGACGATGTTGATAGCGGGGAAAATGTGATATAATTGAGAACTGTTTAAGAAAGGGGAATCGATAGGAGTGTAATACTAAAAATACCTATCTACATTGTCCTTTGTAAATGTTTCCCTGTGTGCGATTTTCTCTTCTTTTTTCTTTCTAACGTGAAGATACGTGGTTCTTTGGTGGATGTCTTAAATGTATTTAAATCGTTCTTGGACCTGTGTTTCTTTTGGCTTACTCGATCGGGTAACTCTCGGAGAGAATTTTTCTTTTGTTTTGAATTGCAAGATGAAAGTACCGTCGGACACGTATTGCGGATGTGTTAACACGTTGACTACCACGCTGGATTTACGTGATTTGAAGCATAGTATTATGCTGTACCATTTTCTATTTAAATTCAAAGTAACGTCTGATTAGCTAGGATGTTGGTATTCATTCTGAGTGACCAACGTGGCGGTGAACGTGTCAAGAATAAACGACTTTAACAAAAGTTCTTCCCGGAACATCTACCGATCGTCGACGTTTCGAAGAGAATCTCTGTTACACGTGAAAACGAACCTCGACGGAAGTTCGGTTGAAAAGTGTAGCATGTGTCCGACACGACGTATCGGACGGGAGAGTGTACATCCCCTAAAGCAATGAAAGCAGCGATAGCGGTGGGCTAGATGACGAACGAAACACAGGTGTACACGTAACATACACGTATGTATACACGCGTGGCGGTGTTCACTCGCGCGCACCATTCTCCATTCACGCTCACGTCACATGGTGTCCGAGCGCGTAAAAGGACCCGTGGTCCTAGTACAGCAGAGAGGAGTAGTATCGCGTATCGTGTCAATCCCTATTCCCCGTTTACTCTGGGGAGTTTACGCTACTACCGCGTGTGGCGGGCTCGCGATCGGCCCTTTCCGTCGCGAGTCTCGGTTCCCCCCCCCCGAGTAGCGGCGTTCGTGTGGATCCTGTGACAGAGAGTTGGGAATCGCGTCGAAGGACCTCGTGGCGGAGGATTCGTGTGTGGCGCGTGTGATCGATGCACGGCCACGCCAGCCAAGCTGAGCCAAGTCTCAGGCCACCACCAGGCCTGGTCACCCTATGTCTCCACGAAGGGATGACTCAGCCTACAACGCGGTTCCTGCACGCTCCTTTTCGTCACGCACACACGCGTTTTTACAATTTTCTACCCTATCCTTTCTCTCTCTCTCTCTCTCTCTCTCTCTCTCACACACACACACACACAGTCGCACACAAACAGCCACAGACACAGACACACACGTCCCGCGTCTCGTCGTTTCTTTATTCGTCTGCTGTTACGATCGTCTTTCTCCTCTTTCTCTCCCGTCTTACCTGTGCTGCTGTTGGAACTTCCAGAGCTTGGTGTAGATGTCAAAGGTGCGCCCGAAGTAGCCCTGCCACTGCTTGTGACCGTACTGTGGCAGATCCCGTAGCCCGTTGAACAGCTGCTTGCTCTTCTCGAGCAGGTGGCAGAACTCGAGGACGACTTTTCGCTCGTGGTCGTCCATGCCAGCCATCATGACCATCTTTTCGGTGAATCGAGATCGCGGCCACTGGCTGGACGACGGCCCTTCAGACGACGGTCGCGGTGGCCCCGCGTGATGGCGCCTGCCGATTCCGCCACCCTCTCTTGCACTCTGACTACTCAGACGCGGCGAGCAACGCGCCGACCCAATCAATACTTGCCCACCCCGCATCAGGGGGCGCACCGTGCGTGCCGTACCACGCCACCAACACAACGCCACGCCACGAGACCGATCCGCACGCGCCGCAACGTCCACCTGGGACATCTGTGCGCTCCGCCGGTAGACTACGCGTCGATTCACCCCGCGGAATCCAGCCGGAGGCGGATCGATGAAATTCTGTCGGTGGGTAAATCGCTGGAAATCGATCGAGGGTTTTGGTGGTGGTTAGGGTGGGTTTCGGGTTATCCGGAGGCTGTTTGGAACTGGGAGAGCAAGTGCGGAGAGTGTGACGAAGATTGGGTTGGGATGGCGCCACTGTCGGTGGTTTGGGTTGGAGCGAAGTTTGGATGGTGATCGTTGAGAAGAGGTTCTTTTGGGGAATTTACCCTTTCGATACTGGGATTCATCTTTGGGTAGGATGTTTACATTCGACGGACTGTTTCATCGCGATTATGCTAACAATGAACGCTACTTCGCTGGATAAGGAGCATGGTAGTTTCATTTTTGCTGGACGATGTAACGAATTGGCGGGAAGAAATCGTAGTTTAAGACGTTTTATGGTAATGACATTTTATAAAATTGATCAATGATACGATTTTTTGGGAATTCTTTAGGGACGACTGTAGTCGCTGTTGGGACACAGCGAGCGTTGAACGATAGACGGCTACAGTCGTCGTTAGTAGCGAAAAGGTTAAGGTGTGTTGAGATTTGATGGAGATTTGGTGGGTAGGTTTAAGTTCAATGGTTGTTACTTGTGTTTTGGGTACCTAAGGTGAGGTACAAAAATTGACCAAGCAAGTTCATTATGATTTTGGATGATTAAGTGGTAGGTGACGTTTCTGTGGAAATCTGACGGTAGATAGGAGATATTGTTGATAATTGTTACTGATTTTTTCGTGTATACGTTGGTTGACATATATTTAACAATATAATGTATTTACGATATATTAATAAACATTGGCTATGATTGTAATACTTCGAATTAGGAAGCAGTACGAAAGGTTGAGGTATATTTCAAGGCTCAGAGTTAAGAAATAGCACTTAAGTAATTCACCATGAATATTTGAATGTTACAAAAATGTCTCTCCAAAGGGACTATTCTTGTTCTTCGTCTCGAAATTTCAGCACCCCGTTCATTTTGAAAACGAGCCCCGAACCACGTTTTCGCCACAATGAATTTCATTAAAATTCTTTTTGACAATAATTAAAATTTGAAAGTTTGAGAGAGGGAGCAGCGGTGAATCTGGGGTGAGCGAAGGGGGTGGCGCTCGACACTTTCGTTGTCGTGGCTCGTTACGGCTGCAGAAACGGTGGGAGTTTTGCCGCCCTGCTAGTCGGCTGCCGCCGTCGGCGGAGATTAATTAACTAGATAACGGTCGGTGGCTGCGAGGGAACGTTGAAAGAGGAGGGCCTGCGGAGGTGGGAGAAGGAGAGGGACGGCGAAAACCTCGTGGGGGTGCGCAGCCACCGTGCAGAACCCCCATGACTAGCGATGGCCTCAAGACGAACGCTCTAAGAAAGTATTTTGAGCAAGTAGTTCCTTGGAAAACTATAAACAGTTCAATGTAATTTAATACATTATCTACTAACTACCCAACAAAGTCGTTGAAATCACTTATACGAGCCACTCAGAAGCCAAAATGATTAACTCCATTTTTTCAAATTCTTCCAGTTTTTAGTGTCGAAGCACGTGCTTGGTGCTCAACTATTCATAAATGAAAAAAACATTCGATAAATTTAATTCCACGGAGTTAGTCACTTTGGCTTCTGAGTGACTCGTACACCAGAATAGTAAGACTACCAGAAGTCGTAAAAATCATGTAACTACACTCCGTCCAATTTAAGAATAACCTCGCTCTCGGACCGATTCTCGTCTGTTCTGCGCATAGATAGAGAGCGTAGCAGAGGGTACGACGAAGAAAAACGTAGGTGGTTAAGTGGGGGTTTGGACGTTCTAGCCTTGCCTTAGGCACGTCCCATGCAAGAAACGAGGTTATTCTTATATTGGACAGAGTATAGACAATAATTATTCCACCAATTGCAACAAATCTTGCATTCCTAACACATCACTTAAACTTCCCCTAAAAATCTAATCAGTCTGACCAAACAGCCGTGCTGTTTCAAACCTTAACGCACTTCCAACCCATTACCATCCCATTTTTCTCACTTTCCCAGGCATTTTTCAGTCCGACCAACGACACTACTACTCCGCGCGACCAAATCGCCAGCGAAGCAACAAAGACGACCATATACGTAACATGCACGCGTAGAACGAGAGTGAGAGAGAGAGAGAGAGAGAAGGAGAGATAGAAGTGAGGTAGTCGCAGTTGCACGGGCATCGGTAGCCATGACAGTTGGCCGAGTGGTGGGGAGGGAGAGGGGAGAGTGTTCAGAGTCGGACGGTGGACTCCTGGCGTATATCGACTGTGTCGCCTCATCTACAAGTCAATCAGGCTCGCGTGCCAGCGACTCGTGAAGGCGGTCCGGTACACGTAAGTAAGTGGCCGGACCGGACCGGCCGGTGGTACATACATATACCTGCGCCACGTTGTCCAATACGAGCGTCGACACGGCCACCTTTATGCCGGGTATGCAAGTATAATGCGCCGCTGCATATATGAATGCTTATGGTAATCCGCGCGCGGCACAGCCTCGTTTCGACGTTGGCCCGGATGCCTGCTAGATAGACCACGGCAGCCCCCTGTGCTATTGTTATCAACCGTCTCTCTCTCTCTCTCTACGTGTGCACAACGCCGCGCCGGTTTTCATATATCGGACCATGGGGCAAGCCCGTCGAACTCCCTTTGGGCACTATGTCTTCGACGAATTCGAGCTGGTTCCGGACGAAAGTGCCTATGTGTGTGTGTGTGTCTTGTATTTTATTATCGGTGAGAATTTTGGAAAGGGAGAGAGGTGAAGAAGAGAGTTTGTTGGAGGTTAGGTACGATTTTGAAAGGACGATGTTAACCTCAATTACGGTGCTTGGGTCCTTTTTGACCCGTTGCCTGAAATCATTTTTCCTCTTATCGAGTTTGCGTTTACTTAAGGTTATGTTCAAAGTTTGTTGTCTAGGTTTACATAGCGTGCTGGTAAGACACGTTTATGACATGGCCTGCGCCTCTTGGCGAGTGAAAGAGACCCAGACTCGAGTGTCCATCGGTTCGGCTCATAAGAGACGTTTGCCTTTCGTCTTGAGGACAGTTCGTGCTTAGCTTTGGAAAGACCTACGTGTAATGTAGTTTTGGAACAAACCGCTTAGTAACATCCTGAGTAAAGTTAATCACGTTAGACCACCTCCTACATATGTGAGGTCTTTGGGTCTTTTTTGACCCAAAGATACCCAATATAGGTTAGAAGTTTGAACCATTTGAATGTTGCAGCCACTAATGAAATGGACAAATTTGAGATACGTGAATTCTTTCCTTCCGAATCTCCCTAAATTTAACCTACTTCTCTCGATAAAAAATTTCATCAAAGTCAAAGATTTAGCTCTTGCAACCCTCGCGTAAAAACACGAAGGCAAATACTCACGAAGGGCACTGTACACTGAAATAAAATTGACTCAACGCAACATTACTTCGTTGCCAAAGTAAACTCCACGAAATCCAAACTTCACCGTACGTATTCTCCGCGTACCTAGCCTAATCCTTCATCGAATCGACTAATTAATCGCTGCAGCCAAGCCGACCGCTTAATTCTTCTCGTGCAGGTAACCCTACCGCAATCAGCCGGAGATTGATCTAGCCGGAAAGGTTGGATGAATTGTAATCGGTGAGTCAGATGTGTCGATCGATCGGTGGCGTGAATCGTGGTCGAAGCACCCAGCACGGGTCCGAGACTATGACTCGAGGCAGAGCCAATGGCAGCCGGTCGTGCGGCCTGTCTGCGAGTATAGACGAGCGATCATATCGGGTCGTTAACTGATATTAATAGCAGGGCGCGGTGAACTCGCTCCTACTCCCTCCCTCTCTCTTGCTCTATCTTTTAACTATACACTTGGCCGGGGCTGTCCCATCTAAAGGGACCCTTTGCCCTAATTGTAACAAATTAAATCACGCGATATCGACGATTCCCTCGGGTGAAATCTACGCGCGCACGGCACAAGCGTGCCGCGATTGTGCACGCCTTTTCAACGCTCTAATCTACCCGCTCGTCGGCCCATTGTTTCCAATTAAGGGGATTTACAGCGGACCATGGACGATCCGTTCGGGATCGAACGAGAGACGCGCTTTCTTCTTCTTTTTTTTTTTGCAGCGATTTTTTCTGCGAAACTTTTGACGAAGTTCTTCGTACCTTGACTTTTCGTACCTCGAGTCGGAGACTCTTAACTTTTCGAAGCACAGAATTTTAAGACAAAAACAGACTCTAGTTGCACGATGGTACTTTTTTAACCCCTTAACGTATGATTTCTTTTCCGACTATGCATCTAAGTGTCAGCCATTTAATGTTTCAGTACTGTATCAAGTAACAAATGCTAATCTGTTGCAGGTTAATTACATTTAGGAATCCTTAATTTTACAAATTAAAACGACAGTTAGGATTACAATGAATCTTTCTTACTGATATATCTATTTTTGTCACATCCTGACTAGAATCTCTGCCACGAGTCTGACACGTTATTGTAGGTTAAAGGGTTAGGAATTTAATTTTTGAGAAATTCTTAACAAGTTTATTTACTCACTCTTTTCTAACAGAGTAAATGATTTCTGAAAGTTTCATTTATGGAACGACGCTACTTTTTTAAATAGGAATTTAATTTTTGAGATTTATTTTCTTTTTAATTGATTAAGTGATTTGTGAAAGTTTCATTTGTGGAACGATGGTACCTTTTTAAATAGGAATTTAATTTTTAAGAAATTTGTAACAATTCTATTTATTTTTCTTTTTTTAAATTGATTAAGTGATTTGTGAAAGTTTCATTTATGGAACGATGCTACT